ACAAGACAAGAAACTGTAGGATACATAATGATATATAACTCAGCGAGGCAGTTTGCTCTAAGGGATTTGGGCTACGATCGTAGGCCATGTACAGCAAATTAAGCTTGCATTTTTAGTTATCGCCTAACAACAACCTCAGCAGCTTTTCATCCAAAAAAAAAAAATTTTGTTCAGGACTTGGCCTCAACTACAACATATTGTGTAATTCAAAATAGTAATTTAAAAACTGGGAATGTGATAGCCTGATCACTCAGAACTTCAGCAATGAAAATGTGGAAAGGCCATTGTATTAAAAAAATAGTAAATAACATGGCTTGTTTTGACAGAAATAGAAAATATGACTCAGATAGGGGAAAGAGCTCTTTGCCCTTTAAAATCTCACTCTTGCTTTCTCTCTTCCCTGAACACAGAATCCTTTCAGGGAGAGTCTGGTGATGCTGCATTATTGATGTGATACAGGTCTCCAGTGGAAACAGATGTGATATGTTTGGTTTTCTCTGATAGTCTGGGCTGAACACAAAGCAAATTACTGAACGTCAGAAGACTCAGGTTTGATGAGAGTGTTCAAAGCACACCTCTAAAAGGAGTTCTTAAATAATAAATCTTAAATTTCAAGCCTGTTGAATAACAAAAAGTTATATATGTACTAAAGGAAATGTGCCTCAAGTGATTTTGTTGAGACAAACCACAACTGAGATTAAAATGCATGTGTGCTGCTTTAGGGTTTGTTTGTTCTCAGACCAGACATTGTTAGCTGGAGTCAAAAGCATGCAATAGCACTGTCTGAAAGAAAACTGAATATTCACAGTGTCTCTTACGATTTTTTTCACCCTGTCCTTTATTTCTAATATCTTGCTTTGACACCATGAATATCCCCTTTTTCACCCCTCAGTTTCTGGCTGGCAGTGGCACAAAGCACAGTCTTGGTCAAGCTGAGGTAGAAGCTAGGAGCTATCTATCTGAGCCCAGGTCGGATGACACTTCAGCTTCGAGAGGGATCCAGGGCAGGTACAAAGAGGCAGGGTCAGTGTATCCATCCTGGAAAACCACGGAGCGTATGTTAGGAGCAACACTGAACTGCAGGAGTTTTCTGTATTTGCTGCGATTCCAGTTTCCACCTGCCACCACGAGCTCATGGGCCTCTACAACAGTAATCGCTGACTGTAAATAAGAAAGCTCATGGGCCTCTAGCAAGACACCACTAAAGTGATCAACAGTAATCGCTGACTGTAAATAAGATTTCTCTTATTTATGTGATGGAGCATGCTAGATGATATCTCACTCGTGATAGCTTCATATTGCTTCAGTTTAATCAGAATTTTCACTAAAAGGCTCAGAGCAAAATACTGCTTCCTTGCCTCTCCTGAAAAACATCAGCACTGCCAGCCTGACTCTCACATCTCAACTGTGGCTTTCTTCTTTGTTCCTTTATTACTTTCTTCATTTTTCAGCTATTTCTTGGTTATCTTCCTAGCCATTTGTACAACTTGGGGGAAAAAAAAAAGTCTTCATCTCACCATATTTGTTGTTTCTCTTTTCAAAAACAGTGTGTTTTCCTTTGAGAACCATGTTGTCCCTCACACTGGATTTAGCAAGTCACGGCTTCGATCTAGCAATAAAGCTAGTGATAAATTATTGGTAGGGAACAGAGATGCCTTCTCCCTAGCACCCCATTACTGACCTCCTAAAACAGAGACCCAGCAAAGCCTGGAAAGGATGAGGGCCAGCCCATGAGATGGGACCTCACGCAGTCCAAGAGCAAATGTGAGACAACATCTCATAGGGGGTTACATCCAGAAGGGAGGGAAAAAGTTGCCATAGCTCACTGACGGCCCCGCGCTTGCGGAACCAGGGAGAAGCACCCGCAGGGAGCGAGCCCTCCGACTCCTTTCCCGGGCCAGGGAGGGAGCTAACGGGCAGGAACGGGAAGCAGCCGCCTGCCTCCCTCCTCCCCCAGGAGGATGTGAGCGGAGCAGGACAGCGCAGCGCAGGGGACGAAGTCGCTGAGGGCGGCTGAGGGCGGGACGGTTGAGGGCGGGACAGAGCGAGGCCGTTGAGGGAGGGACGGTTGGGTGCGGGGCAGGGCGCGGCCGTTGAGGGCGGGACGGT